GGATGTCTTGCAGGAAGTGAGCCTTGCCAGCTAAAGCAGGGAACTGCTAAGGCAGCTGCACCCTGGTCTGACCATCACAAAGCAAGAGACCCGAGAACCAGAAAGGCGAGGCTCACAGAGCCATTTATCCCTCCGTCCTTCAATTAATCCCACATGTGCTTATCGACCAGGTTGGCACAGTAAACTCACTACCTCAAAAGCTATGACTTCCACTCGGTGCATTTGCTATCCTCCTAGTCTAGAGGATTTTACAACTCAACAGTTGTTTTTGTACTATAAACAACGTTACATTGGTAATGGATCAGATTGCCAAGAGACAATATCCGAAAACTAACCACAGAATTTATCCACAAGAGAAACTGAAACCAAATCAGTGAAGTTTCTTGCCTATCCAACTTATTGACAAAACCATAATCCAACTGAAATCTGTGGGTTTTAAGGTCTGAACTGTAAAATCCTTGCTTTCCATAACTCTAGGAAAAGACAGGAGAATATGATGATTAGGTAGTAAGAATATAATGAAAATACATTGATTTATACTTTCTTAAGGGTCAGGCTTTTTTGGGGGGAGTTTGATGGGTTGTTTTCTCAATACTGAAATAACTAAAATGGTTATTGATCATATAGCTTTCCTTGTTGGACAGACCTCTTTGTTTCCCAAAATCTGGCTCAGGACAGACAAACATGTATTGACTTACAAACTGTTTAAATTAGTTTAAGTGCATATTTAACCTTTCCTCCAAACATATCACACTGGCAAGTAATATTTTATTGTACAGAAATTATGATAAATGAGTCTGGAGTTCTAGTGTAGAAATCTCAAGTGTAAGCAATGAAGCATGTTTCAAAATTCAAGAGAACTTTGAATAGTATTTTCATTCAACCTGAGATTCCTTCATCATCCTTCTTCCTGAGAAATTTTCCCATTATTGAAGAAATTTGTCTAGGGGTGCTTTTTTCAAATTGACTACTGGTGTGGCTTATGCCCAAATCATTTGACTCTGAAGATGGACATAGTGCTGGAAAAAGCTTTAAAGGCCAACTTATGTAAATGTTTTCTAACATACTGTTAGATTACCCAATCAATATCCACTCTTGCTTGATCATCTGGCTCCATATCTGACTGAGTTAAACAAGGGAAAAGCCATGTGGATATGTCGCCATATTCACGGGCGGATATAGGACTGAGAAGCAGGACTGATTCTTGGACCTTTGACTTGCAGTGGATATGACGTTTGCAGAACTCATGGATACTCACTAGAGGATATGGATCTTAATTCTTGGGGGTATAATCTATACTTTTGCAATTTCCCAAGCAATAGACATTTGGACATTATGTTTTTGAACTTATATTAAAGCCTATATCATTTAGCCTTGATGTGGTATTATAACGTGTCATTAATCAGAAAGTCACTTGTTGCTTCTTGCATTAGATTTTCTTATAAAATGAGAGGTTGGATCTAGTGTAGAAAATCTCAAACTGGCTGTGCAAGAAAGTGTCTGGGAAGTTTTGAAAATCATTCAGTGGGGGTCACTCACCACTTTAATATACTCAATCATAAACTCCACGTTTTTTTCTGGGAATTTTATTTTTAACAATCCTCTTGGATGCAAGTTTATTGTTATGTGGCTAGTCCAAACAAAGTTTTGGAACCCCTTTGCAAAATTAGAGATGCATACACTTTTATTTGTGTTAGAAGGTCCTAGATAATATTTAGAGGAACTCTGGACTAACTGATATTTGTTTTCCTTTTAAGCCCATTCCGTGTTTCCTTGAGGTAGGCCTCGTCAGACTGTTCCTTCTTTGCCAGGTTCTGTAGGATGTCAGTCTGAGACATCACTAGCACAGTAACACCTACCAAGCACTGTCTTCCTGAGGCCATCCTTCACCTCCTTGTTCCTCAGGCAGTAGATGGCTGGGTTTAGGAAGGGGACAATGATGGTATAGAGCACAGAGATGATCTTGTTGTGGTTGAAGGTGTACATGGCTCGGGGCCGTGCATAAGTAAAAAGAGTAGAGGAATAGTAAATGACCACTACTGCCAGATGGGAGGCACAAGTGGAGAAGGCTTTCTGGCGCCCCTGGGCGGTAGGAATCCTCAAGATAGCTGCAATGATGGCAGTGTATGAGGCAACCACAGCCAACAGAGGGAGTAGAATCATCACGAGAGCCAGGAGGAAGTCTACTATCTCTGCTTGCTCCTTATCAGAGCAGGTGAGATTGAGGAGTGGGGAGATATCACAGAAAAAGTGGTTGATGATATTGGGTCCACAGTAGGAGAGTCGGGAAATGAAAAGAAGCTTCATCATGGAGCTAAAGAATCCACTGCCCCAAGAAGCAGCAGCAAGGCGAGTGGCCAGGTTGGGAGGCATGAGACAGGGGTAACGCAGGGGCTCACAGATGGCCAGATAGCGGTCATAGGCCATGACTGCCAACAGGACACATTCCGTGCAAGCCAATGCAATAAAGAAGTAGAGCTGGGTCATGCAGCCTACAAAAGAGACTCTGCGGTCCTGGGTGAGAAAGGCTCCCAGGAGCCGAGGCACAGTGACATTGACATACCATAGTTCCAGGAATGAGAGATGGCCAAGGAAGAAGTACATGGGACGGTGCAGGCTCTGAGTGAGCCAGATGGTGGCGATGATGAGGGCATTTTCAAATAATGTCAATAGATAAATTGCAAGGAACAGGCCAAAGAGAAGAAGCTGGAAGAGAGGCGAGGTAGGGAACCCCACCAGGATAAACTGCTGTACATGACCTGCACTGAAATTTCTCATGCTCTCCGTCTGCTGCCTGAAAGCAGAGAGAGAATTAATGATTAAAAATACACATGGATTAAATATCTACCATCCTTCACTAGCATAACACATCCTTCTGAGGATGTTCAATGGCTTATTGTCAGATTTTTTTTCACTTTGCTGCTTTATCTACTAGCCCAGAATTGAAGATTGTACTCAATAAATATAAAACTTTAACTACAGTGGTGTTCTGTAAATTCTTACTGAGTGATTTCAGAATGTGCCTTATTATTTGATACGTGCTTTTAAAGATCTCTGGCACATTCTTCCCTTTGCTTCCCTGGGGAACACTCCGAACTTGCAAACCTCATTGCGCCTTTAATCAATATTTGTTGAATAAAAGAATGAAATAATGAATGACAGCCAATTGAAGCCTGTGTGCCTATCTTACAAGGACATATAATCTAAAAGGAAACAATTCTTCAAAAAGATGGCTTACGAGCTTATTAAGGCAACAAAACAGGAAAGGGGTTGGTTTGGAAAGTATACATTTATCAATATGAAAACAATTCAGTATAGAGACTATAAAGAAGCTCTTCTGCCCCAGACAGGTATCGCTCTTACTCATTTTATAAGTATCTTTGAGTACTGTCTATGTTAGCTATAGCTTGACTCACTCCCAGAGCTTGTGTGATAAGCTGGAAAATGGCCTTCCAAATATCCACGTGCACCTATAAATACAGAACATGGCACTGTAAATATTGCTTAAAATGTGAAGACTTTGTAGATGTGATTAACTTAAGAATCTGGAGATGGGGAAACTATGTTACATGAATGGCCTTGTGAAAAAGTCACAAGTCAAGGAAGTACACAGTTACCAAGTCTTGGGAGAAGCCAGGGACAGAATTTCTCTTAATGATTTTTTCTTTCCGGAGGAGTGTGGTCACACTGACAAACTACAATATGTTTCTTTTAAGCATCAACTATATAGTAATTTATACAGCAATCCTAAGAAACTAAGAACACTGGTGAAGCATCCAGGTGGATTCATCACCACCTTTCTGTGCTTTTCCATAGTGCTTAGTGTCCGAGAGGTTGTCTGATAAAACTGGTTTGATATTAGGTCAGATAGTACATCTCATTAAGCATTTGCATCTCTGTTGTGTCTTCGTTTTTTTTCTTCAAAAAACTTATAAAACAATATATGCATTCATATTTCAAGCTGATATCATTTTTATCATATGAAGGGATGTTAAAAAATTACTACAAATTTATAGAAATATTTATTAAACAAAAACATCTAAATGTGAAACTATTGTTTTGGGCATATCCTTTATCTAGGTCTATACACTTCTGAAGGCAGTGTATGTATTTCTCTAACCTTCCCCTGTGTGTATCATAGAAGACTACAGATATATTACAAAGAATGAGAATTTCAGAACACAGTTGTGTTCATGCAGAAGCTGTATATAGCCAGAGGCAGTTGTCCAAATGGAACTTGGAGATATTTCTGTTTAAAATAAGGATCAATGTGTTTCAGGGTTGTAATTTTCACCATAGTTATTCAATATCTATGCTAAGCAAATAATCTGAGCAGCTCTGCTGTTTGAAGACGAGCTCAGGGTCAGAACTGGAGGAAGGCTCATTAACAATCTGCAAGTTGCAGATGGCACACAACTTGCTTACTGAAAAAGAAGAGATTCGGGGACACTTTCTGATGAAGATTAAAAAAATCCTGCCACCTTCAGTATGGAGTATAGCTCAATGTAAAACCAAACCAAGCCAAACTCACTGCCATCGAGTCATGCCAACTCATAGCGATTCTATAGGACAGGGTAGACTTGCCCCTGTGAGTGTCTAAGACGAACTCTACAAAGCCCCATCTATCGCCCAGGGAGCTGGCTGATGGGTTCAAATCATTTAGCAGCCCAACGCTTAACCACTACATCACCAAAGTCAAATAAAAAAACGAGACCAACAGGCAATATCATGATAAGCAGAAAGGATTGAACTTGTCAAGGATTTTATTTTGCTTTGATACACAGTCAATGTTCATGGAAGCAACAGTCATGAGACTGTTACAAAATGCTCAAATCTGTCGCACAGGAGATAGCTCCTAAAATGTGAAAGAGAAAATGTGTCCCTTTGGGGGCCAAGGTGCGTCTGACCAAATTCATGATATGTTCAAGCCCCTCTCACTCACTGCCATCGAGTCAATACTGACTCCGAGCAATCTTATAGGACGGGGTGGCACTACTCCTGTGAGTTTCTGAGACTGTAACTATTCACACGCGTAGAAAGCCAAGTTCTCCTGCAGAGCAGCTGGTGGTTTTGAACTGATGACTTTAGAGATTGCAGCCCAATATGTGACTACTGCCTGTCAAAAAAAAAAAAAAAAAAAGACTGGACAAAGGAAGACCAGGGGAAAATGGATGTATTTGAATCATGATATTGATGAAGAATGTTGAAAGAACCATAGCCCATGAGAAGAACAAACAAATCTGTCTTGGGAGAAGTTTAACCAGAATGCTTCTTAGAAGCAAAGGTGGCAAAACTTCATTCAATTCCTTGTTATCGGGAGGGACTAACCCCCCAACGCACACTGTGCTCGATAAAGTAGAGTGGGTGCAAAAGAAGAGTCAAGGAGATGAAGGGGCACGCGGCTGCAGCAACAGGCTCAGACGTAGCCACGCTTGTGAAGGCAGCACAGGACCCAGCAGTGTTCCATTTCGCTAGACACCGGGTCCTTATGAGTCAGAGCCAGCTTGATGGCAGCTAACAGCGACCCTTCCACCGAGAATTCTGTATCTTTTGATTTAGATGCAGGAAAACAGCAGCACTGAGCCTACGGGAGCTGCAATTGTGTTCCTTTTAATGTTCTTTGAATTTTGGAATCAAACAGACGTCTGAAGGAATGGGATCTGAGCTCGAGCATGAATGGATCCAAGCTTCCCCGTGGAATCTTGTAGGGCAGCTCCTGCTCCTTTCCAAGGATGCGCAGGCGCCTTGTTGCCATGGGAAGAGAGGTTCCTCAGAGCAACTTTCCTGGCTTTTTTTTTTTCTCTCAATTCTCAATTTTCTTAAAACTTCTTCATAAGAAGGCCCCACAATCATTTCATGTTCTCTGAGAAAATATATCAAGATTAGTGTTTGAGGTTCCCCCCCCCCTCCCAAAGGTATTCCCCACTCTTGTGGTTGACTTTTGTGCCTGGAATTGAACCAGTCCAGCAGATCTCCCCAGAAGTCCTAATTTGATTGGCTCTTGCTCCTAGGATGGTATTGGTAAATCCTAGATTTAGTTTTACCTCTCTGGTTAGGATGGCTTTTATAAAACTATCTTCATTAGTTTAAAACACTGATAGAAAATTAGTGATTTCAGCTAGCTGATCATGGGAGACTCTTTTTAAAGACAAAATAATAGGTCTGAGTTAAGCGCACTACTGAGAGAAATTGCAGGCAGCCTCAGAGACATATGTAAACACATTTTGTTTGCAATGAGCCCATGCCTGTACGAACTGGAACCTTGGTAACAATACTTTCTGACTTACCCTCATATATTAAGTAATTGTAGATATATAAATTCCACTATGCGATGCATATTAACATTTTAAAATTATTTATTATATTACTTACTCTTTATGTATCCACTAAAATCTAAATATCAGGGCTGTGAAAATGTTTAATATGTACTATAAAAGTCATATGAGTGCAGGTCTCTTTAAAAGATGGAAATTTAACATCCCTTTTCTCACTAAACAAAATTCCATGATTTTATAATACATGTGTATAACTTAAAGTCTCTGTATTTGCAGTATTTGTTTCATGTACTCCTGAGGCTATCATTTTAAAACATTTTTCTAAGTATCACTACATGATTTTTATTTATATACACTTAATCAAAGCAAAAAACACATGATAAATTTAAAAATATATATTACATGTGAAAAAATGCTAGTTTACTGGAAAAGTATTTTGTAAGCATTTGGATTGCCCTCCCCCTAGTTATTGCTTGCAGTCATGAAGATTACTTATTACCATAATGAGAACATCTTCAACATTTCTTTCATACTTTTCATTTGGAGATTTAAGCACAGAGAAAGCTAGCACATAAATAAAACTCCAGGAAGTAAATAACATGGGGTAGACTTAGAGAACAATTGTTATGCTCGTTACAATATTTTTTTGACATTTGTATTTGTTGTGCACCAGACATTGCACAATAACCTATCATCAAAATATTTTTATTAATCTTCTTTCTGATAAGCTCCTTTTCCAATTTTGCTGAAGACAATGAATTACAAACTACTGACTTGCACAAGGACTTGTGAGTCATCCACATTCTCAATGCTGACACTGACAATGACCTTCACTCTCTAGGAGACACCCACACAGTCAGATTCAGTTAAACGACTTTCCTTGGAAGGTGGGAGAAAGTGTTTTGAATAGAGAAACAGCAACATCGTCAGAAAAGCCCTGATACGAATGTTAAGAATGCCGTACTAATTTGATAGCTTAGGTTCTGCAGAATAATTAATGTAGCCAGTGGAAATTTTCCTGACAATGTCTCCCTCAGACCCACAGAAAGTTTTCTACCCGCAGGATTTCTCATGACCGAGTGCTATTGATTATTAGTGTTCGGTCCAGCCATTCATTCCCTTCCAGATGCTCTCCTTCTCTTCCCAGCTATCACCCTCCTGCCAGTCCTCTGGAAGCGCTTGGGTTTCTACACACAGACTTTTGCACATGCGTAGACCTCATAAACACCACTTCCTCTGTGTCCATTTCCTATCTCATTAAGTGGATCCTTAACATCTGCTATTTTGATATGACTGTTATTGAAAGTAAGAGGAGATTTTGCACTTACCTAGGATTCTCTTCGGAATCAACAGTTAACAGTCATGTTTCTATATTTCTATACTGAATTAATAAGTAGTACTAGAATGAGACCTCTTTAAAGTGTTGAAAAGCAAGAATGTTACTTTCAAGACAAAGGTGTGCCTGACCCTGGCCATTGTGTTTTCAATAGCCGAATGTGCACG